CTTCCCAGGTTTGGGACCAGGAGTCTCTTCCCAAAGGGTTGATCTTGTCATTAGATAGAGTGAGCCAGCTGTCTTATGCTACAAGTGTTGGCAGGTGGGAGAAGGAGGTGTAGAGTAGTGGGAAAGTGTAGGATGGCAGAGCTGTGTTTAGTTTCACCCTCTGAGCTGGTCTTCTGCATCACCTACAACATCTATGTCACCATCTAGAAATAATAACGATAAACCTCCATGGCAACGTCCAACTTCTAAAGGTAGCTCCATATACTGTACCACACTGCTGTTTCCTTTGAGCTACCACATAACATTTATATGTGTGTGTCATTATGCATCTGTTGATCAATAGAAGAGTTGGGTAATACATTTATGGAACACCAGGATATAGGAAGCAAGGGAAGACACACAAAAAAAATCAAAAATTCATTCTGGCCTAATGTTAATGTAGTGGAACCCCCATCTCACGCTTGTCCATCATTGGAAGCTCAAAGGGAAGAGCCAATGAGAAGACAGGAGGAGCGGAACCAAGAGGAGAGTTGAGGAGACAGACAGTTAGGAGAGAGACAGTTGGAGATGTGGAAATAACAGTTACAGTTTAGGAGAGAGAAGAGGAGAGTTAGGGAATTGTACTGAGAGAGTTAGGAGAATGATTTGAGAACATTAAAATATATTGAACAAGCAGGAATGAAATTATAATTACTATAAGATAGATATTGATAAAAAGTATATACAGTGGTGCCCTGCAAAGCAGGAATGAAATTATAAGTACTATGAGATAGATATTGAATAAAAGTATATACAGTAGTGCCCTGCATAACGGGTGCTTCATTTAACAATGAATCTGCATAGCAATGATTTTTTTGCGATTATTTTTGCAATCGCATTGCGATGTTTTAAATAGTAAAAAATCACTTTGCGATGATCAGTAAGCTGTTTTGCTTACCGATTTTCGCATAGCAATGTTTTTAGAACAGCTGATCGGTGGTTCCAAAATGGCCACCGGGTAAAAAAATGGCCACCCGCTGTGTTTTTGCACCCATTCCTCGCTTACTGGGCAGCGAAAATTGTGGCCGTATGGAGGATTTTCATTGAATGGTGAATTTTTTGCCCATAGGAACGCATTAAACGTGTTTTAATGCATTCCTATCGGCTTTTTGGTTTCGTATAGCGATGAATCCACATAGTGACGATTTTTCCGGAACGGATTATCGTCGCTATGTGGGGCACCACTGTAGTAGTTCAGAATAGAAGTACTTGCAACCAAATACATAATCAAATCCTTGTTAATACCTGATACAGTTCCTACGTGATTTACCTTTGTGATTTACTTAAAAATAAAAGAATATTTGTTAATTAAACCTCTGATTCCCAAATTTAATAAACCTTAGCTTTGGCAGCACATGTGTATAACATACATAATAGGTATTAGGAGGATAATACGTACTGGTGGCAGCTAGCAGAGAAAAGGGTTTGAACCTTTGTGAGGGCCAAATAAACAGGGGCAACAAGGTTGAGCACCACAGTTAAAAGCCATGGAAGTTCTAATTATAGAACCAGCTCAAGCAGGCCTCTCCACATGAGCAGGAAGAGAATTACTGCCCCCTTGTCCCTCCATGTGGCCACCATTGCCTTCCCATCTCCTTTCCCATGCCAGTGTTGTCATGCCTTCTTCTCTCTGTTCTCCTCATCATTCTGTCATCTATTTTACCATTTTATTGCCATTGCATTGCTTCTCCTCACCTTACGGTGTATTTCCATCTCCTCTGTGCCCCCACTGCTTCTTCCAATCTCTTTAAGTTGCATGTACTTCAGACCATTATCCCTCCTCATCTCCAGCCTGCATCTCCTCTAACTCACCTTCTTTTGTATTTCCTCCAGCCTGAACAATTACATCCAGCCTTCATCTCTTCCTGTCCATTGTTGTTTCCTTCGATCATGTCCCCATCACTTCCTATTCCTCCCTTTCTGTTACCACATTGTTGGCTTCAAGACAGTCCTTAGATGTAACTTGGTACAGCCTTGGCTTCAAGACAGTCCTTAGATGTAACTGATTAAAAGAGTGGTACAGCAAAGTTTGGGGTCATCCCACGTGAATGCATTTTAAAGCATGTTCTCTAAGTAGGTGATGGACATTTACATTTATATATTGTGCCTGACTAAAAGTGCATCATGACTTTCTGCAACTTCTGGAGGTCAGGGTTTTGAAAGGTGCGAGGGAGGCAGTGGTGATGAACTACCAAACAGCAGAGCAAGGGATGATTGCTGAGAGAATGATAGAACACATGTAGATAATCCTGTCAAGATGCCTCTTCAGAATGCTCTTATCATTGTGAGAAAAAAGTAACTTGTTTCCTACTGATTATGTCACTTTTGAAAAGTAACTTTGTGCCACCCTCATTGCCCATTGCCAGGACCCCCCACTGATTCCTGCTGTGCATTCCCCTATATTTTATTTCCCCAAGCTTGGTGACCTGAGCCACCCCTGACACATAAGGTGACTGAATCAAGGGATGAAGTTTTGTTTCCCACAGTGCCCTTGAAGTAGTAATGCTTAGGGCATTACAGCATATTATGATGGCAGCTAGTCCAGCTATCCAGCCCTGCCGAAAGTATTGCTGCTAGGCAACACACTAGTAGGGTAAGCCCTGAGAGCCTTTTGACTTGGCCTACTTGAGACATAGAGCCAGCCATGTCCTTTATTCTGAGCATCTTTCTCACAGCAAGAGGGTCCTGCCAGTTTCAGATCTTGTCCCACTTCCCAACAGCTTGTCATTGTTGCTCAAGGTATTTGGTCTGCTATCTTCCATCTAGCTGCTGGTCCTTTTGATCTCTGGCTTTTGTTTTTAGAATTTGACCCTTGCCAGTTGTGGATTGTGTTGCTCACGTAGGCCCATCATCTTGAGAGCTGTATTGACCTCAGCTTTGAAACCTGACCTTTGGGTGCCTGATCTCCTGCTAGGACCTGACAACTGCTACCAGCCCAGAATTAGAAACTAGGCATGTTACGTTTGGAAATGTTTGAAATGAATAGGAACAAAAAGAGAGAGATGCTGTTTTGAATCACTACGAGTAGAACACGAGCTGCTTAGACATTCCACCAGAAAGCAGCCCATCAGAATATAATCATTAAAAAAGGCTGTTTGCTTAGGAAATATACAAGGAATACAGCTGTTACTATTACTGTTTCTGTCATGCCCCTTAAAAGCTGCTATTTTTACGGTTCCATATGGAAGAGATCATATGTGTGACAACCGCTTGGCCTTGACAAAAGCCAAGGAAACAGCTGAGAAAGCTATAGTTAAAAGAGAATGTAGCGAGACCCAGAGAGGGAGATTTTGTTTGTACAGTATTGGCATTTCTGATAAAGATGAATGGAAGGCAGATAAAGCAGAAAATAAAATACCTCTGTATAAAGCTTCCTTATTCTTGGCCTTCCTGGTTTGATCCTGCCAGTGTTGTTTTCTAAGGCAGCCACTAAAATTAGATGTTGCTTTCTTAAGACCAATACTGTGGATTGTACAGTTAATGACTGAGGACACATGCTGTGCTCAGTTGTGAATCATATGTCCCTCCTTGTCGCTTGCTTTTGGAAAATACAGCTGCAGAAGCTGCAAACTAATGTTTGAAGCAGGGAGAGTCTTACGTTTTTTCCCCTTCCATGCCATTTCCTCTCTAAGATTTTCCCCACCCTAGTCTTTTTTTTGAGGGGGGGGGACATGCAATACACAGAGTGTGCATGCAATACACACAGGAAGAATCAAACTTCAGTGCTTCTCTTGCTCTGAACCATAGTAGTGGCTATTCTGGTTGGTAATGGCTGCCATCATATTACTTGATGTTCCCTCTTTAAGAGACTGCAGCACTTCCCCTTCATTTACATCTCAAGGCAGCAGGTAGGCAATAGGGCATTTAAGATCAACCCATAAACACAACCTCCCTTTCTCCCTGCTTTCTGTAATATGTTGTCTGGCTGAGAGAGCTCGAAAGCTTGCACATATTTTGCAGCCCCCCCCCCCCCCGGTCTAATAAAGGAATCACATCAATATGGGTTTTAATTTTGTTTTGTTTTATTATGGCAAGTGCAGCTGCCCCTGAATTTAAATGCCACAAAAATTAGTTCAAGGATAAGACTATAAATTGTTTGTCACCCTCTCTCTTTTTTTTCTTACTGTATTCTAACTATAGCTATGTTACCATCTTTTATACATACTGATTGGCTTTGACTGAAGAGGTTCTGTTACTTGTGTGATAATAGCAAATAAAAGAAAGTTGTGTGGTAATTATTAATGATTAAGTGCATTTCACAAAAACTCTCCTCACGTATGTGTTGGTCACTGTGGGAGCAGCTGTATCCTGCTGCAGTTGCATACCAACAGTGCCTCACCCAAGAAAGTTGCATCTCAATAACTGCCGTTTCTCTCCCCCCCCCCCCCCGGTCACCATTGGAAGTGGAGCGAGATAGTGTCATAGACTTTAAGATTTATTCTGTTTTTGGTTTTGTGCCATGCCTTTCCTTTCCTTTCCTTTCTCCTTCCTTCTCTCCTGCTAAAGTGGTCCTGTAATCTTGAAAGCTTGCAAAAAAAATTGTACAGTACATGCCTTCTTCCTTCCTTCCTTTTTTTAAAAAATTGGCCTAATAAAGGTATCATCCTGTGCTGGCAGCATGGATGTCCACCTTCTCTTCAGCTCAGCCAGTCAGAGCTCTCAGAATGCTGTTGAGGGGGATTAAAGAGTTAAATTAAAGAGGGGATTAAGGAATTTTATAGTTTCATCCAAAAATGAGCTTTCTTTGAACACATACCAATGGGATTGTACTTGTTCTGTTAAAAAAACACCTATGTGTGTCTTTTTTCTAGGATCACTTTGGAATCTTGAAATAAATGGATTTAGAAAGAGTGACAAAAAGACATATACTTTATCCTTCAAATGCAAAAAAAATTTTTTAAATAATCCCCCATCTAAACTGATATGTTATCCTTTATGCTATGTTGCTTTTCTCTTTACAGTGAGAGATTCTTTTTAAAACTGAATCGAAATGGGTTGCCAAAATGTCCAGAGAAGCCAGAAAGACACTGTTCTTTGTTTGTGGTGAGTCATTTTACTTTTTCAATTTAACTCCCTCATCAGGTAATTTATAAAATGGGAAAATATATTATAAGTTTCTTTCGTCACTGATAGCCCAATTATACATACTGAACACCCTTCATAGTAGAGTTTGGAAGTGGCCATATTAAGGTATTCTTGGAATTGTAGTCTAAATAATAATTTTTTAAGGTAAAGGTAAAGGTTCCCCTTGACATTTAGTCCAGTCGTGTCCGACTTTAGGGTGCGGTACTCATCCCCATTTCCAAGCTGTAGAGCCAGCGTTTTGTCCGAAGACAGTTTCCATGGTCACATGGCCAGTGCAACTAGACACGGAATGCTGTTACCTTCCCACCAAGGTGGTACCTATTTATCTATTCGCATTTTTACATGCTTTCGAACTGCTAGGTTGGCTGGGACAAGTGATGGGAGCTCACTTCGTTGCGTGGATTCAATCTTACAACTGCTGGTCTTCTGACCCTGCAGCACAGAAGCTTCTGCAGTTTAATCCACAGCGCCACCACGTCCCAATTTTTTAAGCCGTATGTAATAGAGAAAAATCAGGATGTAATACTCAGAGAGAAATTTATATGAACAAAATGGCATAACTGTATGGATTAACAGTTTCCCATTACTAGGCATGAAATGTTCTACTCAGTGGATACAATGACCATCTGGGTAGCTTCTAAATGAAAGAAACTTATTGTTACACAATATTACATACATTTATTCAACAGTTTCAGTGGGAATTGCTTCCTAGAATGCAGATTCAAAATAATGTTTTAAGAAATGAACCTTGCTTCATTTCAGGGGAATTCGGGAGTAAATTTCATTGAACAGAGTGGGACTTAATTACAGCTAAACATACATAGAATTAGAGTGTAGATTGCAAACTGAGAATACTTTACTCAGAGAGGATGCTCAATCCTCTTCAGACTTGTGTTTATCATTTTCCAGGGTGTAACGTTCAGCCCTGCCCTCACCTGTCCGTCACAGCTGGGCAGTGGAACAGCAGCCAATGAGGGGACGGAAGGTGGTGCTAAAGGGGGAGGAGCTGGGATATAAAGGGGTGTGTATGGAGTTGGAGATTGATTGAGTGGGAGAGTGAGATCTGGAGAGATCTAGTGTGTGAGAGAAAGAGGCCTGCGTGCCTGAGTGTCACTGAGGGAAAGTCTGTGTGAGTTAGTGTTTTAGTAACCGTGATTGACAACTTGATTCTATGCCAGTGATTTACTCCATTTATTTTGTACAAATCAATAAATACTTTATTTTGTTTTTGAAAGAAACCCTTGTCCTTTTCATTTAAAGGAAAGGTTGGTGGCAGCCAGAATGTGTAGTGGCGTAGTGGGCATCCTGAGAAGCCTGAGTGGCAGTGACATTGGAAGGGCCCACCATGTTACACAGGGGAAATCCTTGTGTTCTGTGGAATGGGACTTGATATATTGTGATTTTATACATTGGATGACAAAAGCAACCATCCAGTTTCAAAAGCCTGGATGGAATGAACAGGAATTTGCACATGACATTCTAAGCATAAATCTTTGATACTAAAGGCTGTGATTCTAAGTAATAGTAAGTCCCATTGGATGCAGAATATCATACTAATGACAAAATCATAAGTTGGGAGAGGTCTTGAGAACATCTAGTCCAGCTCTTTTCATGGTGCCAATATTCCAGATCCGGAGTACTTGCAGCACATGGTGGTGGGTTGACTTATTTATTTATTTATTTTATTTATTTATTCAATTTATATGCCGCCCACACTACCCAGAGGTCTCTGGGAGGCTCACAACAATTGCTTCAAGATGCCCAGTAAGGGACATGCCTGGATGTCTGTGGTTCTCAGTCTTTGACCTTCCAGATGTTTTGGATTTCAGCTCCTAGAATCTCTTACTGTGTTGGCTGGGCTTTCTGAGAACTGGAGTTCAAAACATCTGAAGGGCTAAAAGTTGAGAACCACTTCTCTGTAATTGACTGCAGACTTTAATTGACCTTGGTGTCAGGTTTCTTGCAATGTCTGAGAACCACCCAGGGAAACTTGCATAAGTTTATGAGGTTGATCAATCAAATGTAGTGAAACCGTCTTTCTATCTTTTGGTTTTCTGATTGCTGCCCAACATCTTAGATAGTAGCACACTTAGACATTTAAAATAATGTATCTGTTAGTAATATGATGATTAAAGTCTTAAGCATCCTGTGATAACTTCAGGCTGTTGTGATTTTCTACAGGATTTGGGAAGCAGTGAGCTGAGGAAGGACATTTACATCACTGTGCACATCATACGCATTGGTATGCATGCTTCTTTCACTAAAACCTTTATGTTAGAAAGTGGTAGAAGATTTACTGGTGACAAGCAAACAGTTTAGTTGCATAATTTTTTTTTATCCTGAGTGCCACCAGCTTTCAGTATGTCTTACATTGAAAATATTAATAATAATGTAGATGGTTCATTATATGATTTAAAAGGGACTTACCCTTTCAGACTGCAGGGAGGATGTCACATGAATCACCGTCTTATGGATTGAAATTGCATTTATTGTTCTTTTAAAATATTACTATGGTTGAAATCCTGTTGCACATCTCCACTGTCCCATGTGGTGATGATATCATCAACCACAAACTTTAATCTTTAATTTACAATTTCCCACAAACCTGCCTCAGTCTTCAAGTCATATTAACAGGTAGGAGAAGGAAAACTCCAATTCCAAACCTCCACTGCCTTGTGGCTATATCCACTGATGGAAAAGGCTTCAGGAGTAAACCTTGAGGCAAAATCCAGAGCCGGAGTCCTGGAGGCAGTTCGTGTCATTCTGGCAATTCCTGTGACATCGCTGGAACCAGTTGTATTGGCTCTTGCCTTTCCATTGGACTAGTTCAGCGATGTGGAGAGGGGGGATTTGTTGCTTAGGTAACAGCCTATCCTCCATATTATTTTACCCAGGCCTTGTGCTCTGGAGAGGACACTCCAGCTTTGCATACAGCATCAAAGTCCTCCATACAGAGCACGTTACCATGGTCTCTCGAGACTCAAGGATGCCTATGAGATATTGGAAGCCATGAGACCCACAACCCCCTTACTGTTAGTCATGATGGATAGGGTTAATGAGTGTTATAGTTCAAAATATATCATATTAGTCCAATATTCTCTCATGTTGTCATCATTTTTGCTAAGCCAGCATTGGCTATTTCTCTTAGGCCTACTTCAGTCCCTAAATTGTCATTCATTTCTGTCTGCCTCTTTCTTGTAATGTCAATTTTTGATGCAAGACTGTGCCCATGAATAAAGACATTATGTTTTCTCTTGGACAGTTTAACATATGGTTAACATTATTCTAGACAAATCTGATTAATCCGCAGACAATGTTGAGGTAGTATAGAAGGAAAGAGTGGTTAATCTCCTTATTTAAAGAAGCTGTCACATGGGCTTCACTGAGTTAACTGGAGTAATCCTTACCTGTCATCCATCTTTCTTTTTAAAAGCATCTTACCAGTTTGGCCTTTAAAGCAATAGTTGCATCTTAATATTTCAGCTTCCACTGTGGAAAGGCTGAATGTGCCTTCAACTATTCTTGATATGGCCAAGCATAAGTTACACGTGACAATCAGCAGTTGTCTGTACTGGAGAATGTGCTAGTTAAGCAAATGACAAAACAATTATGTCAGTGATCTTTTTAGTAGTAATATAGTCCCCTTTCATAACCTTCTTGAAGATGAATAGGAACTGTGTTGCCTGTGAGCTGCATGCTCTGCCCTCCAGGGCATAGCTCCATGGTAGAGTGCATATGTTTCATGTGGAAGGTCCCAGGTTAGATCCCTGATAGGTCTGGAAAACATCTGTCTGAAGTCTTAGAGAACTGCTGCCAGTTTGTATTGACAATACTTGGCTTAAATCAATGGTTTGAAGTGGTCTCTTCCTGAGGCCCCCAATATGGCTTCTAGGTTGCCTACAAAGTCCCATCCAGAGCAAAATGGATGAATAAATGAATGTGGCCCCAGGTTGGACAGTTATTTCCAGAGAAGCCTACGCAGCACCATTGTTCATTTTAATACCATTTTGGAGAGACCCTGCGTGTTTGGTGTTTTTCTTTACCTAGGGAACTTGTCCAACAACAGCCACAACAAATGCTTTGTGTTTGGGTGAGAAGTGGTTAACTGATGAAAAAAAGAAGTCAGCTTCTGAGATTTTTCCCTTGCTTGGTGTCACTTTGTGAATGGTAGTGAGCACAAGAGGGTACCTTGTATGCCATCTCGACTGCCACCACTGGAGTGATCAACATTCAAGCTACCTTTTGATATGTAAAGCTTGGGATCTTTTTTCCTGTTGGCAACCTCAGCATAATATTCGGCAGCAAAATCAGGCCACTTTAAATCATGGATACAGAAGCCCAATATCCCACAGACATAAACAAGAGCTTTTATTTTAATTTATATTTTAAAATAATTTGAATCTGTTTGAGTCCTGGCATCTGGTATCTTTAATGTTGCAGTATAATAACATAGCAACACACGTTCAGCAAGACTAAAGAAATATTCAGTTTACTTAATTAATATAGGCCAGCAACTAGGACCACATGTTAATTATTCATGAAACTGGTGTCTTCATGAATCTCTACTATGAGATGGCTACAAAGTCACCTTGCAGTTTAAAATAATGGTGTGAATTCACCCTTTGATTGTAATTTAAGATTCTAGAAATGTTAGCTATGAATGTTAAATGGAAGGCTTATTGTTCTGTTCACTTCATATTCTGTTTGAGTTGCATCTGCTCAGCACCTCTGCTTTCTGATCTTGCAAAGCCTGGAATAGATTCTATGTGTGTGTTTTTATTTCACTAGTCAGACCTAATGCAATTTTAAGGGCATGCAGCACAGTTTATTTTAACACAAAGAAGATGTGGCATGCAGAAGAAATAACCATGAATATAGATTGTTAGAAATAATGTGCTTTTTGTCACCACATAAATTAAACATATAGCTGATATAGGTTTAGAAGACAGAGAAATTGAGGCAGGAAGCAAACAAACTGCTGAAAATTTGCCGAGACAGTAAAAATGGAGTGCAGCTTTTTATAGTATATGAAGGAAAATAAAGCGGATGTTTCTATACATCCATACATAAAAGGACATGTAGAATTGTATTTGTTTTGTTTTTTATTTAATCTTCATCTCTTTTGGGGGTGGGCTGGACAAGTTTTCATTTTCTTGTCTCCCCCTTCATTGTTTACTATTTGCAATTTGTCATGTAAAATCTCATATTCCAGTGGATGCAGGGACCGTCTGACACCAGCAGATTTGTCCTCAAAAAGTCAACAGAGTGCAGGAACAACACTAAATAGGGAAGAAACTGCAGCTCATGACATGGAATTCAGCACCATGGATAGTTCAATGAGTGTGAGAGGTGCTGTTTGTTGAAGTCAGTGGCCAGTGTCCTCTGGAGTGTCTGCTGTGTGAAAAGTCTCCCCAGTTCAGTAAGATTTGTGACAAGGATTTGTGTCACTTGCAAAAATGATGCCAGGGGCAAGCAGGGGTTGAATTTTCTTCATGGGAATCACTGCTTGCTCAACAACAGAACATGGATGAGTTATTCAGTCTTATGACGGCTGGACTTTCCTGGTCAATGGAAGCTCAGTAGCTTCTTTTAATCTGCTATGAACTGCATCTGTAATCTTGCAAGAAATCTAAGAGGCCCCCTCTCATGTCCTCACCAAATAAGCTTGGAAAGGTGGTGGAACCAAGAGAAGGGCCTCCTCAGAATATCTTAAAAGACAAAAAGACTTATGTGACGCTCAGTGAACCTGTTGTAATGAGAGGGTTACATGTTCCCTGTAACCAGTGCAGTTTTGCTGCAGCATTTTAAGCCAGCTGAAGTTTCCAAACACTCTTCATTGGCTACCCTATGTACAGCATGTTGCAGTCATCCAAACAAGATGAAACAAAGGTATGTGTAACTGTAGCCAGATAGGACATCTCAAGGAATTGGTGCAGTTGGTACATCAGCTTTAAATGTGTAAATTCACTCCTGTTCCAAACTCAGAGCTGACTCCAGGAGCACACCCAAGTTGTGAACCTGACTTTTCAGGGGGAGTGTAACCCCATACAGTACAGGCTGAATACTATCCCCCAGGTTGCATTTTGAGTGACCAGGAACATCTCTGTTTTATCTGAATTAAGTTTCAGTTTGTTAGCCTTCATCTAGTCTGCTACTGACAACAGCCGCTGGGGTTCCAAACTCAGAGCTGACTCCAGGAGCACACCCAAGTTGTGAACCTGACTTTTCAGGGGGAGTGTAACCCCATACAGTACAGGCTGAATACTATCCCCCAGGTTGCATTTTGAGTGACCAGGAACATCTCTGTTTTATCTGAATTAAGTTTCAGTTTGTTAGCCTTCATCCAGTCTGCTACTGACAACAGCCGCTGGTTTAGGCACTGAACAGCTTCCTTGGAATCAGATGAAAAGGGTAGATAGAGTTGAGAGTCATCAGCATACTGATGGCGCTGAACCCCAAAACTTCAGGCAACGTCTCCCAGTGGTTTCATGTAAATGTTGAATAACATGGGGCACAGGACTGAGCCTGGAGAGAGATACCATAGACCAGCAGCCAGGGTGTCAAATAGGATTTCCCCCAGCACCACCTTCTGTGTTCAGTCATCCAGGAAAGAATGGAACCACTGTAAAACCGTACCTCCAAGGTGATCCGTTCAGTCATCCAGGAAAGAATGGAACCACCTCCAAGGTGATCTCTGAAAGGCACTCCAGAAGAATATCATGGTTGATGGTATTGAAAGCCACTGACAGGCCTGGCAGAACCAACACCCTATCCAGTTTCCAGCACAGATCACCTTCCAAGGTGATCAAATCTCTCTGTTCCATAACCAGGCGTGAAGCTAGACTGAAATGGATCTAGATAATCCACTTCACCTCTGGATCCAGTATACCACAACATGCTCCAAGACCTTGCCCGAAAATGTAATATTAGAGACTGGCCAATAATTATCCAGGGAGGGTGTTTTTTTTAAAAAAATAAAAGTCTTATTACTAACTAGAAATGGGAGTATTCGTATTCATATATGAATATGAATATCCCTGCACAGCTGAATCAATGAGAGTCCAGCCCCTGAGGCTGGACCGACCACTTACAGATCTGGCAGTGGCAGTGACCCCACTCATCCTTCCATTTGCTCCCACAGTGCCACTCTCTTCCCTTTCGGCTAGCCACTTCAGGCGGGGGGGGGACGAGTCTCCCTGCTTGACTGCTGAGTTGCCAGCCCAGTGGGAAGAGAGCAGAGCCCAGGAGGGATTGGAAGGATGAGCAGGGCCGCTGCCAGATCCATGAGTGGATGATCCAGCCCCAGGGACCAGACTCTTGTCTAGCTGTGTAGGGATATTCGTATTCATATGCAAATACGCCCATCTCTATTGCTGACATTTAATGAAAACACTCTGTATATTTTCCACCCTGTTGTTGCAGTTGGTAGCAAGACTGCAGTTCTTAAATACATTTACCCAGACATAATCCAATGATATTATTCTGTTTAGTACAGATGTCAGCAGAAATGTTGGTTTTCTTGCCTTGCACATTTGGAAAAATGTTTCGTGCCCCATGTGCCTCTTTTTATTTCAACAGGCCGAATGGGAGCTGGTGAGAAGAAAAATACTTGCAATGTACAGTACCGACGACCTTTCGGTTGTGCAGTCCTCAGCATCGCAGATCTACTGGCAGGCGACACAAAAGATGACCTTATTCTGAAAGTATACATGTAAGGGAGCATATATTTGAAAGACAGTGCAACAGTTTTTGGGAAAGAAATTGTGAGGTCAAACTTTGCTTAAGAACTTCACTCAATCTATTTTCCCCTTAAATATCCATTGTGGCATTAGTTAGTAGGCACTCAGCTCCAGTTATATGTGCCTTGAAATTAAGAAACCCTAGCTTCTGCTCAGTAGCCCAGTAAGGTGAGATGTCATGTCTTCTACCAAACAAACAGTCCACCACCCAGTCAAGTAGTACCTCTATTCAGCCATAACTATAGTATTCATTTTGAGCAAGAAATAAAGGACATAACTCTCTGCCTCACAAAAAGAATCATACTTTGATTTAGTACTATGATAATGTGCTACACTCAGGCTGGTATAGATGCAAGGGGAAGGTAGGAAGCTGTCCTGTCTCTTTTAAATTAATGTTGTGTGTATTCTGAGTGGGTGTCTTTGGAACGAGAAGATCCTCATGGGCAGGGAGGTTTGATGAAATGTTCTTTAATGATGCCTCCAGAAACAGAGGTCTCCTTTAGTCCTGCCCGTCTTCTAACAAGAGGTTTGATGCTGCCAGTAGTAATAATGTATTGTGGTGGCACATCAGACCCTAGCTAGCTTCACTGGCTCCAGAGAGAGGTGGGTAGGCCTAGGGCACTATGTCTGGTACTTTATTGCCAGCTTGGACTCTTCAGGACTATACATTCACGCTTGATTGGGCCCTGGAGGTCTATATAGTGGGATTGAATGAGATTCTGAAAGGCTGTGTGTTGGGGCCAGATCATACTTTTGAAAGTTGTGCTTTGGGACTGGTTCAAGCGCTGAGGACTGTTAATTGGGCAGCATATTGAGAAGCCCTTTTTGCTGGAGATTTGAGATGCCAGTTCTGCCATAGTAGTGTAGTGTTCCTAGGGATCTTCAGAGCTCATTGTGGTCCCTGGTATTGGAACCGCCTGTCAGGAGTTCTCAACCTCTTCTCCCTTATTTCCTCTGGTTTCACAGACTCTGCTTCCTCTCAGCAGCCCCCTGGGCTCATACCTTCTGCTCCTGCCTAGGTGCTCTCCCAGGTTTCTTGATCTCTGAAGCACTTCCCTGTTTTTAACAGGAGGGACACAACCTGTGGTGGACATATGGTGAGAGGACTCATTGGCTCCCAATGATCCATCCCAATCAACTACAATTCATTATCTCCAAACCTTAATCTCTGGTTAACTGTGTTTTGTTGAAGTACCAGCCAGCTGTTAAAAGATATGATTAATCACACCTGGTCAAAATGCCAATCCATGGTAAAGGAAAATTTTGAAGCAAAACATTCCAAAATCTTCCTTTGGAGTTGTACTGGGAGAGGGGAGCACAAAGGCCTGGGACTCTATTTTGCTCGTTTTTGTAATACTGAACAATAGCTTCTTGTTGTATCCAAACCAATTTTGCAACAAATAGGACAGAGTCTTGCAGAGCCCTGAAGATCTGGACTTGGACCCAACTGAATTCAAGTAGGCTCATTGAATAAATGGAGTTTATATAAGTGTTAACTGTTCAGCAACTGATTTGATAAAACTGCCCTGGTTGGGATTACCAAATGGATTTAGTTCTCGTAGCATGAGTGTGCACGTATCTTTTAAGAGCAACTTATAAAGAAGGTCATTGCCCATGAAATGATCCTCCCACTGAATGTGTGAATGCTGCAAGAGATTTTCTATATGTTGTAAAGAGTCTATTTTCTTGATTATACAAAGAATTAATTTGAACTGTTTTTCTTTTAGGTTCTGCTGACTATATGACTTGAGTTCATAACTTAGAAAGATAAATATATCAATGTCCTTGATTTGTCCTTTCTTCTTACATACTTTCTGAAATGTGAAAACCTTTTTTTGCCTTGCTCTGTGTGGAAGCTCATCCCTTGTTTCTTGCTGGGAAGTTTCCCGCAAGTTTATGCATGTAATACAGATGAGAAACTGAGATTATATTTTGATGCTGTGATGCAAATATAGTTGTGTTGATAGGTTAATATGCAGTCATTTATCAAAACTAATCTATGACCAGAAATTATAATAGTACTGCTAACAAAGTAGAGAGGGTCTGGAGTTTGGCAACTGAATACATGTTTTTTCTGTAGAAAGTCACAGGTTCAACCCCTGGCACTTCCTGGGAAAAATCTGTGCTTCACTACAGTGTGGGAAACAATGGACTAGGTGTACTAGAAGTTTATTCAGTGTCAGACAGCTTTGTAGGTTTCTACCAGAGCTTAGAAATATTATTATTGGAATCAATGCTCATAACCCAGTCCCCCACAACCCCCGCAGCCAACATCCCAAAGACATAGTTGTACAGTGGTGCCTCGCTTAACGAGCGCACCGTTTAACGACAAATCCGCATAGCGACGCATTTTTGCGATCGCATTGCGATGTTTTACAAACAGATGATCGGCGGTTCCAAAATGGCCGCCGGGTCAACAGAATGGCGAAAATGGCGGCCGGATGGAGGATTCCCCGCAGAGCAGTGAGTTTTTCCCCAATAGGAACGCATTAAACGGAGTTTAATGCGTTCCTATGGGTTTCCCCCGCATAGTGACGAATCGGGATAGCGACGTTAATCCTGGAACGCATTACCGTTGCTATGTGGGGCACCATTGTACTCCAAAAAATGTAATTTTTCAAAATAATGTTTCCTACACAACTTTCTGTTCGTACTGCAAAGAATTTGAACTTATTTTGTCAACGATGAAAAAGCACATGTAGTTCTCGCAAGACTTTGGACCTAAGAGGGTAAAAAATATTCTGAGAAAGAATATAAATCCTGGATTGAGATGTTTATCAGCTGTATTCACTGAGGGCTGTTGTTCCTTTCAGGGTCAGCACTTATGTTATGAATTCACCTCAGGGTTGCAAGGTCGGTCCTTCACTAGCCTCTCTCCTACAATCTCCAGTGCTGAATTATAGCTGCTGGAAGCGGTGATCTGGGGAACAATTTAGTGTCATTGGACACCAGCAGCTTTTATTGTACTTTCATTTTCTGACAGTTCTGTTGAAAGTGTTCTTTGCTGGATTTCTCAGCAGTGGAGAGGTCTGCTTGCTTGCTAGTTGTGTGGTCCTTTAATCATTTATTT